GCAAATTCCTCGGCAGAATGTAGTAGGATCTGGTTACCAATATTGAAAGAGGAAGTTATTAATAAGAAAATACCAGTATTGGTAAGTCAGTAACATATAGAGGATACATCATTTATGTTTTTTAAATAACGTAACATATAAAATCAGAATTTTGATGTTTGTTGAAGGTAAACTAAATTCACGAACAAATACTTACAATGTCGGGATAGTATTATGAGGTTTTTTTTCCTGGTTTTTCCCTCATAATTTACTATGGAATCACTAACAGGAGAATTTTACTGTCATCATGTCATGTGTTTGTCTTTTTAAAGACGAATTACATGCTGTGATTTTTTCTGACGGATATTCTCAAGTTAAAGTTGATTTCATGTAATCGAATGAACTATCTTATAAGTAAAGTCGTCCCAGGAGCGCAACTCAACAATATTGGCAATATCATTTTAAAGTCGTCTACTTTAAAATGCATAATGTATGTCTGAATTGTCAATATAAATGAGTCAGATAAAATTAAATTATTAGAAGAATTTTTTCACTATGTAACAAAAAACAAAATTTGTTTATTTACTGTTTGTATTTTGAGAACGATTTCCGAATTGGAAATTGAAACGTCAATAAATGTATTTTTTATCTTTAATTGTGGCTTATTCCCAGTTATAAATAGTAATTAATTTACAATGCCACAAGAAAATAGCTTCAGAACAATATGAAAAGATTATGGTTTTGTGAAGTAAGAAATGTCTTACCGGGAAATAGTGGCAGTGGTAAGTAACACAGGGCGTTGTGTCAAAAACTTATGCTAGGTATCAGTAATTAGTAACGCATAAGAATAGATTAAGACAAATTCGGCAAAAAGTAACAATGGCTCGCTACGATTGTTTCATTGTCTAAGTAGCTGGAAGATACTCAAAAATTTATCACTCACAGCTCCAAATGCAACTTTTGGAAGCTACAAATGTAAGCGTTTCAGTTGAATCGATAAGAAAAAATCTCCGTACCTAAGGACTATATAGCAGTAGATAGTAACTGGTTCTAGAGTTATCTAGGCAGCTCAAGATTAATAGTATAAAGTGGTGTCTTTAAGCAAAACCAGCAGCCAAAACGAAAATTGTCAGATCTCTTTGCAGATCTACAGGACGTTATATCTGTGAACAGAAGAAGTGTCAGTTTCTGAGGAAGCATTATGATAACTAAAACAACTCCTTTAATTTCCATCCAGCTAACTTTAACAGCTTTTAGGTATGTTAGATTTTGTTCTAGAACATGTAGTTAGGGTCTGAAGAGGTGCAATGGGAGAATATTTAATTTTAATGCATGATAATGCACCTCCACATAAAAGCAGACGTACTACAGACTTCCTTGAAGCATAAGATATTACTGTTCTGGAGTGGCCTGCGTGCTTATCCGACCTTAACTCCATAGACCAATAACTGTGAGATCTGCTTAAAATAAGAATTAGAGCTCACCGGGAGAATCCACAAAACACTTCACATCTAGCACAAGCTAGCTTGCTAGCTAGCTAGCTTGAAGAATAGAACAGCCTGCTACAACAAAATATTCAGAATTTGTTTAGGAGCATTCCCACCCGAACTGAAATTTGTATAAGGGATAGTGGTGGTTATACTGACTACTAAAAGAATCATGAATAAATAAAAACAATTTAAATATTAGTCCTTTTATATTGAAAAGTTATTGACTTTAAAACAAGTGATTTCAATTATTTATTTTAAGCATTAACCGTTTTCTTTAATTGTTATGTATTGATGACTATATTCCTTTAAAACAAAAAATATTCTTTGACTTTGTCGGTTGTTTATTTTTAAAATTCGCTTGAAATAATACGAAATAACAGATTATTCCATATAAGTTTGGTTATGTATAGTTACTGCTTGAAGTGCCACAGTCGACATTCAAATAGTAGAACTATATTGATAAAACGTTTTAAAGAATCAATATTAAAAATTTAAAAAGAATATATGAAATTTTTGTTTCTTTTTCACATCAAGGTTTATTTTGCCATTTCTGTTATATTTAGTGTCTTGATAATTTGATTATCACAAACAGCTTCTTCTTCTTCTTCTACGGCACTATAGCCCAAAATGAGCCTTGGCCTCCTTTATTTTTTGCCTCCACCCTTGTCTGTCTGTGGCTGCTCTTCTCCATACACGGACTCCTAAAAGTGCTTGTGCGTCGCTGCTTACTGTGTCTTCCCAGCGCTTTCTTGGCTTTCCAACTGGTCTCTTTCCCTGCATTCTGGCGTTCAGTGCTCGTTTTGGTAGCCTATCCTCTCCCATTCGTATCACATGTCCGGCCCATTGCAATCTTTGTATTCTAATGAAGTCTGACAGGGGTGTTTCCTTATACAGTTGATAGAGCTCGTTGTTATATCGAATTCTGAAGATTCCGTTTTCCCTCACAGGTCCTAGTATTCTCCTCAGTACTTTTCTTTCGAATGTGTCGAGTTTGTTTTTGGATGTTTCTTTCAGGACCCATGCTTCGCTGCCATAACATGCTATTGGCCGAATTAAAGTTTTATATATTCTCATCTTTGTATTTCGGTGGACACTTTTAGACCGAAATATATGGGAGAGGGCAAAATAAGCTTTGTTTGCCTGCGTTATCCTTTTTCGTATTTCTCCATCCTCTGCTCCATCGGCATATATTTCTACTCCCAGGTATGTAAACTTTCCAACCGTTTCAATGTCATCTTCATGTATAATGTTTTGTGGGATTATATTTCTTCTCGTCTGTACCATTATTTTTGTTTTTTTCTGTGTTAATTTCCAGACCTAGCCTTTTCGTTTGTGTTTTTAACTCTGCGTATGCTTCCTGTGCTCCTGTTGATGTTCTACTCATAATATTAATATCATCGGCGTAGGCAGCCAGTTGAACCGTTTTATTGGTCAGTAGGTTTTCTCGTCCAGTTTGCATTTGCCTAACCGCATACTCCAGTGCCAGGTTAAACAATGTTGGTGCCAGCCCATCTCCCTGCTTTAGTCCCTGCGAGATTTTGAAAAAGTCTGTCCGGTTGTTTTGTATTCGTACACATGCCTGAGTTTCATCCATTGTGGCTTTAATGAGTCTAATTAGCTTATGTGGTATTGCTAATTCTGCCAATATATAGTATAGTCTGTCCCTTTTGACTGAATCGTATGCCTGTTTGAAGTCTACAAACACGTTGTGAACATCAATGTCGTGTTCCCACGATTTGCTCAAGACCTGCTTGACTGTAAATATTTGATCCATTGTCGATCTTCCTCGTCTGAAGCCCGTCTGATATTCTCCAATAATATTTTCTGCTAGTGGTTGGAGTCGCTGGTTTATAATATACGTGAGGACTTTATACGCTGTACATAGTAGAGAAATTCCACGGTAGTTCTTGCATTGGAGTTTGTCTCCTTTTTTATAGTTTTTATCACAAACAGCTGCCATTCCTGTAAACTTGAATTTAGATTTAGCCTTAACAAAAAGTGGAGAAACATATATAAAATAATAAGTATATATAAATTATTGTTATATCAAATATATGGAGTTTATTTAGTTAATTTATTTGTATTTTTTTAAATAAACATTTAAAAGCTACAACTGCTTCTAAATTCTTCACAGTTTTTACGTAATGATACTTGCCTAAAGGGTACCAAAATATAAAAAATCTAAAAAAATCTATAAAAGTTATGATTTCTTGACTAGTGCGCATATATGTAAAGAAGATGTATATTTTCTTAAATTATTCTAGCAGAAGCTGAATGGGAAACTGCATATTGTTTGTATTAATAGTGTCAGTTCTTTTATTTAAAACTTTAGAAGGGTTGTGAAATATTTTTAAAGGGAGACTTGTTTGCTGTTAATATTATCTTTCGTTGATCCCGAAACACTTCCGTCTCCCAATATGTTTACCTAATATAGAAAATATATTAAAATAGTTATATAAATTTAGAAGAGAGAATGATAATCATAATTATACGCAACTGTTACAATAACTGGCGTTTTAAATCTTTTAAATATGACTATTAAACAAATAATTGCTGAATTGTAGATTTAGAATTGCAATACATATGATCCAGGATTGCAAATAACCTTTAACTCTGTTTAAATCTACACCAATTAAACAAAATAAAATTTTCTAAACTAGTGTACTAAAAAAATACTAAAAAATATCAAAATTTTTTAATATGTATTAAATATTTCGAAACGAACCTCATAAAATATTTATTTTTGCATATGTTTGAAATGCGCTGTAATATTTACCTTACTTATTACTTTCTGTGTCATTTCACCAGACAGATATTTATGTCGCAGTCAGTAGGATTTTCCGATACTCACTTCTAAACCAATTTGCGTGCCAATAATTAGCAATAATCTCTTCCAGATTCATTTTCCTGTTCTACATATTCACTCCCCTCCCAAAATTTCTATTTCCTAATCTCTTAAAATTGCAATTTCCGCTTCAGCGTTAGCTACACAACCATCTTACGACTAAGGGTTACAAAATTGGAGGATAAGCCATATTTCTGTATATTACAACGTTTAGTTCATTAGGATAGTTAAGCTTTGTTGTATAATTATATTACCAAACTAAATAAAAAATATATTATAACTAAATAAATATTATAATATTGATATAGAAATTATTATCACACAATCTTAGTAGGAAGTTATAACACATATGATAACACAGTCATCTCTTATTATTTTTTATGTATGAGTTCAGTCATGATTTTTAAAAATAAATTATCATTGGATTTTTTCGTTTTCTTTTATGGCAGTAATTAATATATACATCCCATTTTCCGTATTTGTAAAATATTGTGAAAAATAATAATGTTGAGTTACGCAATCGTAAAAAAAACTAATTTATTTAATGTAAAAAAAGTTCCCCCCGCCTTGATTGTGTGATGGGAATATTTCAAAATAAATTCTCTTTATATACTCATCAATATCAATCTCTGCATGACAAGAACTGGAACAATGGCTAACCCTCCCTGTACTTTCACTACCCTTGTCTACGACGTATAGTGATACAATTCGCCGGATTTCCTATTAATAGCAGTATAAATTGGTTCATATTTTATCCCCTCGCCTACCTTGGGATGCAGTCTTTTAACGTATGGATTGTGTGGATTCGACAACAGTTTGACACCGTTATGATGTGTCGGTATAGTAGTGTGTTGTCTCGGATAAACATTGCAGCTATTTCCATTTACCAAATTGGCTTGTACATTGTTGGTAGTATGTTGTGGAAGAGGCATGGTAGAACAGTTTGGATACACATTCTGAACAGGCTGTGTCGGATAATGCGGCAACGTAGCTGAACACGACTGGATGTTAGTTTTATCTGTAAACGACGTCATTCGCATATTGGTGCATCTACCATACGGATCTTCTTCCAATATGGCGGGTGTTATAATGTCGGTTTTGTTCGGCCTGATCGATTTTCTGCGTATAACGACTGTGCTTTCCTGGCTGTCAGCTGGATTTTCTGTGATATTAATTATGCTTTCGGTTTTGGGTGGTGTATGGTGTTCGCTATCGTTCGAATGAATTCCACTAGAAGTTTCGCTGTGATTACTTCCAGGAGGATCTGGGGGTGAATGTGAGCTTTCTGTACTCACAGAATCGGATCTTCCTGGAATATCTTCGTGAGGGATAATTCCGGAGTCGGCGCGTCGAATGCAACGTGGTGCTGAAGTTGTTTGGACCTGTGGAAGAAAAATGGAGTACATTACAATTAAAAAGTTTAAGCTAATTATCTTAAAAGTTCTACAATACTTCTGTACAATGTGTTTACAATTTATAAACAGTAAATAAACTAAACTCCTACCTACTTTTAGACAATTACAAAATAAATGGCATTAACTGAAGCCTCGATGGAATAAAGTAAGTTTATTCCAAAGAGTATAAATAAGGATATTGAAGGTAATGACACCCAAGTATCAAAGATAAACTAACATAGATAGATAACGAAGATAAAAAAATAATCAAAACTAAACTGGCTTAAAATTAGTTTTAATAAACCAAAACAGTTATCTAAAACTATTAAACTACTGTAACTAAACCTTTCAGGTTAACCTATTAGGCTAAAACAACCTCTCAAATATGATCAAATAATTGAAAAAACCAACAAAAGTAAATAAAATAAAATTTGTAGAATTAAGGAAAAATCATTGATAGTATGGCATGTCTCACATAGAGATTTTTAAATATTCACGGTTGAAATTTAGTTTAATGACAAACGTGATATTAAAGATATAACGATAATATATCGTCTAGAGTGGGCCTATGTATTTAACAAAACATGTTTTTATACCGCCAGTGGCCGTATAAAAGACCAAGTGCCACGGCCAGCTTTGTATGGCAAGCACTTAAAGATAAAATAATAATGAAATTCGGATGCCCGACCAAACTTCTCTCAGACAATGTCACTTCATATCGCACCCTCATTGCAACACTGCAGTAACTCAAAATTTTATGAAAATGAAGTAATCATGGAATTCGATTGTAAACATGCATATCTATCCCCTGTAAAACTTTATTACATTACAACAACAACATTCTATATTACAACAACAACAGTTTAAATATTTTATGTTTTTGTACATAGGTTCCGTGCAAAACTGTTGTAACTCTAATGTAACAAGAGTTACAACAGTTTTGCACGGAACATTGCAATGGTTTCGATAACAAGCAGTGAAAGGCAGGAAAAAAGTAAGATATTTGTTATTTTAAGATATATATATCTGTGGTGTTTAATTTTAATATACAGCATGTCTATGTAATCCATTAACAACGGAGACAATAAAAAAATATTTACGATTTATCAATTTATTTATGTAAGTTTTATATCCTTTGTGTGACATTATATTTTCCATAAATGGTGTGCGATTTCATTTGACCACTTATTTATTAGATTGGATTAAAAACACATGAATTAAGACTAATTATTTACAGCCAAAAAGTATTTTTTCTTATAAAAGGAAAATAGTTATCTTAAAACTATTAACAATACTGACAGGTTAAAAATATCTATTCTCAGAAAACTTGTTATATAAAAACTAAATCCCAAATTGTATTAAATCTTCATGTAACCTTCCGGGGCGATTCCGTCTTATCATATTATCCTCCCGTAACTTCTACTAAGGTAGTGAATTTCTATCCTTTTGTTAAACACTGTACTCAAGGTAGCCTGATTTGCATATTTTTATTAGTCTTTTTGTTTTAAATTTAAATAAAAATATTGAAAGTTTTACAAATAATTTTTCTACCCTATTATGACCTTGTCATTACAAAGCCAAGGAATTGTGGCTATCAGAAACATGTGCAGACATGGAAAGGTACCTATTTATTCTAGATAGCTATCTGATTTCGCGAAATATACTAAATCTAAAGTTTAGTACCATACTAAACCTTGATTGCTGTTGGGGATTTATTACCATTCGGGTACGACACAAAAAGCGCACCAAAAATATTTTGGCCCAAGATGATATCCGAGAAGAGCACAATAACTAACAGAAAATGTATCTACACTTTTTACAATTCTCTCCGTGCAAAAGTGTTGTAACTTTAAAATTCTGATACTAAATGTGTAGTGATTAACAATTTACTCCGTGCAAAAGTGTTGTAACTTTGAAATTCCTATTTTTTTTAGCATTAGTATTATTTTATTTAAATTTCTATTTTTGGTTACTGTAACATAGGCTGAAAAGCATGCAAAATCATAATTAAATGTTAATTTTTCTTAAAACTTATCTCTTATTTCACCGATATTAGCACGAAAATAAACAAAATCGTCTTTATCTCGAAACTTACTTATTCTGACTTACTGCAGTCTTGCACTGAGGGTGCGATATAAAAACAGAGAATTCAGTAACCTGCTAAAAGAATTCAACATCAAAAAATACGAAATTCCGCCATATTTATCACAGAATAACTCAGTAGAAAGAACAAACAGAGTAATCAAGATAATGATAACCCAATTTTTCTACAACAATCACAAAAAATGGGACACATACATCCCAAAAATGACAACTTAGAAAAACATGAACTCCACTAGATTTTCACCAGCATTTTTAAATTTCGGACATGAACTAGACATACCCAGTAAGATTATAGTGTTTCCTGACCCGACTGACACAATTCCGCTAACATACAAGTAAAATAAATTAAGAGAAAAATTCAAATTAGTAAAAATGAATCTGGCCAAAGCATTTACATCAGAAAGCCACTACTTTAGTCTACGCCGCAGAGTGAGGACACCGATAACCGGAGATAAAGTCATGAAAAAAGAATACAACATATCTAACGCCCCAAGAATTGAACGCCAAATTACATCCTAAATTCTCCGGCCTATATACTATTTACAAAATATTATCAAAATTAATTTTTCAGTTAAAAGACACAACGGCAAGAATAATTAACGAAGTTCACATTGAAGATGTGAAACCAACTTACGACGATAACACATAATCCCACGAAATCAGTCCCTTTTATCAACCTCAACAACATCCCTTTCTTTCCCACAGGTTATTAAACGACACTTTTGTACAGGAGAAACCTTAAACATAAATACAAATGGAAGATATCATAGAGATCCCAACAATGATGAGCCCGATACCTGACAGGCTCAGATCACTTCAGGCCGAAACTGCGAAAACATCATGGCGGCTTTAAAAATTCGTTCTATGTTCGGGTCTATAATAAGCGAGGATCCAAAAATGGGGATACCGCAACTACCGAACCCCAAAACTAAGTCAAAGCAAACACTAAAATTGTGAACGCCATTTCAGTCGCTGCTACCACCCAACTTAAAAGCGAAAGGATAATACCAGCTAAGAAGATCGTTCACCAAGACAATCCGTATCCGCTACACAAAATAGTGACAGTGTTAGTCCATAAGACATAATTGTGAGTGATACAGTTTTAGTATAATTTTTAGAAAGATTTTTTTTCTTTTCTTTGTAAATACTAGAGCTGTAGCAAAAATTTTGCTTTAAAATTTTTTTTAACGAGAGGGTAGTGTGACGATAATATAATATCTTCTAGAGTACGCCTATGTATTTAACAAAACATGTTTTTATACCACCACTGGACGTATAAAAGACCGAGCAGAAACCTACTCGGGGCATTCTTGGTGTGTTAAACTAAGAATACCTAACTACCTACTACCTACTAGAACATTGCGCTGAACGTGTTCTATTCTATCAGTTTGGTAAGATAAACTGCTAATTCTATAGCGTCTTATATGTTGAATCAGACATTCCTTCCCGTAGACATTCATTTCGCGCTGAGAAATGAATGTAACTCCTGATTAATTCCTCCATTGTTGACTTATCATTTACGGGACAAATATCGTCACACTATCCTGTTAAGACCTACTAGAGCCAAACTAAGAGAGGACAGAATACCGAACGAACTCCTAAAGTACGGAGGACCAAATCTAACCAAACAACTATTAAAACTAATCCAAAAAATAATAGACCAAAACAAAATTCCTCGAGAATGGAGATCAAGCATCCTAATACAATAATCTTCATACCTAATATACCTAATATAATCTTCAAAAAGGGAGACAAATCGGACCCGGAAAATTACAGAGGAATTCATTTATTAAACACAACACTAAAATTAACAAGTGCAAGAGAAATCATAAGAATACAACAAACCTTCATATCTATGTTTCGTGGACCTTAAAAAGGCATTTGACCGGGTCAAATTAAAAAACGTTATTCACTTACTAACCGCAAGAGAGATACCTCTAGGAATAATCAAAACGATCGAAAATATCTTCCAAAACAACACAATAAAAGTAAAAGTAGAAGAAGAACTAACCGACCCTATTGAAGCTGGCAATGGGGTAAGACAGAGAGATTCATTGAGTCCTTTATTATTCAACCTGATTATGGATGAAATAATAAAGAAAGTAAGAACTGAAAAAGGATATCAAATGGGAGAAAATCAAACTTAAAATAATCTGCTATGCAGACGACGCAATACTACTCTTTCAAAGTGAAGATAATTTACAACGTATAATGCACCCATTTAATATAACCGCCAGAAAATTTAACATGTTAATTTTCCCAAAAAGGACAAAATGCACGGTTACAATAGCAAAATTACTAAGATGTAAATTGGAGCTAGAAGGTCAGATAATAGAACAAGTGATGGAGTTTAAATATATAGGCATCTATTATCTAGCTACGGAAAGCTCGAAACCAAAGTGGAAGATCAAGTGATAGAGCAAATAGAGCCGCAGGCTGCCTAAAGGCAGAATTTACAAAACAGTTATCAGACCAATCATGACATACGCGGCAGAAACAAGACCTGATACAGAGAGGACAAAAAGGATGTTAGAAACAGCAGAGATGAAAACACTTAGAACAATTGATGGTAAGACACTATGGGACAGAGTTAAAAGTACAGATGTACGACGTAGATGCAAGGTGGAGAACATCAAGAACTGAGTAAGAAATAGAAGAGTAGAATGGAATGATCATTTAAGCCGAATGATAACAAATAAGACGGCAAGAGACGGAATATTGCTAAACACAAAAGTAGATTTGCTATATAAAACTATCAAGTAGGTATTTACACATTAAGACTTTGTGTAAATAACACAAAGTACTATCTGTAGTTTTTGTAAAGTGCAACCCGGAAAATAAGTGGGGTTAATGTAGAGAGTTACCCAACACTACAATAGGTTCAGTAGATTAAATCAGAAAAACAAACGATGGCTACGAAATATAAAAGAACCGTACAATAATCGTAGCAACAAAACCATAGGAATATTAGAAAACGCATATTTACATTAATTAAAAATCCAAATAGAGAGTATGCAATATATTAAGAACAGACAACAATAAATTAATCACAAGGCAAATTGGATTAATTTTAAATTAAAACTTTTTTAATCTTCTATAGTACTTGTTTGTTGATGGTTAGGTGTTGAAAATATATATACAAGAAGTTAAAACCCTAAATATTATACTTACCACACTTTCGTAATTATTATGAACAATAACAGACGATTCTTCCAGCAACGGACTTCTATCTTCATAAGCGTTATCTGGAGGATCGAAGTCTTGGTTGGTGCTAGCGTAAGTTATATGTTCATCATGAACACAAGCCAGAAGCTAAGGTAAGAAAGCAAAGCAAAGTTAGTACAGTTAGAGCAAAATTAAGCTTTATAAGATACTGTTACTGTAAAAGTTTTTTTAGTCTACTTCACATAAAAAGCATTAAGTTCGATCAAGGTTTCGACTGCTTTACAACTTTTCCATCTAATAAAATTTAAATATGTATAATAAAAATCTGTATTTCCTTAAACAAACAAATCATATATTATAATTCAGCAAATAAATAGCGATGTGGACTTTGTTATTTATTGTTTAAATAATAATGGCCTGTGATTGCTTTATATTTCCATGAGATAAGGGATTTCTGAAATTTGTTGTGTATAACCCTGGCAATAATAACGAGACGTAATTGAGTTGTATCATATTTTGTAAGTACATATTTTTTTATGTAATTTACTACTTTTTATTTCATTTATCATTTTTTCAAACTAAAGTCAAAACGCCTCAGTTTACCAAAGAAAACAAAAAAGTGTAAAGTACAAACATTAGTACGAAAAGCAAAGAAAAAAACATATATAAAAAAAGCTTTTATTCTTTGTTCAACCAAAAATGGATCTTTTTTGAAACAATAGAGAAGTAAAACGAAAATGCTGATGAAAATCACCCTTATCGTATAAAGTTTTTCACAAACTTAAACAAACTTAAAACAAACAAAAAAGACTCTTACCAGACACACCAAACGTAACAAGAGATAAAAGAACATATTCCTCAAAGATATTTAAACAATCGAAGGACACCAGGTGAAGATCAAATAGCGATTGAAGATTAAGATCAAAGAAATTAATCTTGAGAAATAAAGCAGAATTAGAAAAAGATCAGCACGATTCGGACTGGCCGATCTTACACAGTTGCAGTATTCTTTTATATAGCTCTATAGCCCAAGTCAGGCTTTGTCTCCCCCAGCATCCTCCTCCAAGCATCTCTTTACGAGCTGCTTTCCTACACCATCAATATCTCCTTAGCAACGGTTGTTACTTCGTCTATTTACCTCTTTCTTGGTCTTCCACCGACCGACCATGTCCCTGGTCCCACCAATCGTTTTACTTATTCTCCACATACCATTATCGCAAATTGGTCCCAATATGTTTATTTCAAAAGTATTAATAACGGTTACTTTCTGTATATTCTTATTGATATTCTTTTCTGTCATGATCCATGTTTCTACGCCATGTGTTGCTATTGGTCGAATGATGGTTTTATATATTTTGAACTTTATTTCCACATGGATGTCTTTGATTCTACACAACTGCGACATGGAGAAGTATGCTTTGTTAGAACGCATTATCCTTTTCCGAAGGTCTTCTTCCTTGCTGCCGTCTTCAGTTATCTCCACGCCCAGATATATGAAGTGTTTCACTACTTCAATATTTGCGTCATCTATTGTCAAATTTTACAAGTTTCGTTAGCTTCTTACTTGTGTTAGGACTTTAGTTTGCAATACAGATGCAGTATTCATTTTAAGATAAATAAAAGAATGTTGACTTTATGTTGACTTTGATCATGGACGAAACTCTAAAAAACGTAATCAGAAAGAAACGATACATAATGTGTACAACCAAACTAAGAAGTATTTGCTTAGCTTATTCTTCTATTTCTTCTTTTTATATAGACATGACTCTGTTTGTTTTTCAATGTGCCTCCAGTATTTTGTCGTTCCATTGTTCTCGTGGTCTTTCTTCAGTTAGTTCTTCTTTTACTTTTACTTTTACTTTTATTGTGTTGTTTTGGTAGATATATTCGATCTTTTTGGTTATTCCTAGTGGTATCACTCTTGCGTACAGTAAGTAGATAACGTCTTTTAATTTGACCCGATCAAATGCCTTCTTAGGGTCCACGAAGCATAGATATGCCGGTTTGTTGTATTCCAATAATTTCTCTTGCCCTTGCCCCATTATAAATATAGCGTCGATGCATGATCTTCCCGACCTTGTTGTTCTTCTGCGAGTGTTATAATTTAATTCCGTTAATTTTTCATCACTTGAGTTGTTAATTTTAATTAATTCCTCTGTAATTGTCCGTTTGATCAGATCTGGTCCTCCTTACTTTAGGAGTTCGTCCTGTATTCTATTCTCTACTGGTGATTTTCTAGTTTTTTAAATTCCTTAACGCTTCCTTTGCCTCTTTCTCCTCAATATTTATTTCTTCGTTTGTCGTCACCTCTGATGTTAGTGGTTCATTATCTTCACCTTTAGCAAATAGGAATCGAAAGTAATCTACCCATGTTTCCTTTTGAATGTGTTTAATTTTTCTTAGTTTGTTCATCTCTTTTCTTAATGCTCTGATTATTCTCTATATTTCTTTTTGTGTTCCGTAGATGTCGTGTCCCATCTGTTTTGAGAAGCTCCGTTTTTATTTTTCTAACTAAAGTATTTTTTTCATTTCTGATTCGTTTTATTTGCTTATGTATGATGTAATAGTTATAGCACAAAATAAGAATAGTCACCAGAGAATGCTGTACCAATTAGTAACCAATTTTTGGTTTTAGAAAGAAGTTTTTCTGGACTTAATAGACTACTAACATGGATTTGAAGGAAGTAGTGCAATGTTTTATCCAATTGTACCAATCTTTAGGAGATTGGCACTTATTATATATATATATATATATATATATATAATATATATATATATATATATATACACACACTTCTCCAAGAAATTACCGCACCACTTAAATATTAAAATATTTTATTGGAGTTAATAAAAATTATCAGTAGTAATATCCCTAGGATATTGATAACAGACGAGATAATTTCATGACAATCGAAAGCTCGTTCCTATTACCAAGCAACGAGCTTGAGAAATTTGTCATGAAATTATGAGGCATTTATCAATGTCCGAGGGATATTCGGCGGATAATTTTTCGAAAAAAAAATCATAACTCAACATAACGAAACGTTTATTTATTAAAAGTATAGTTAGTGAAAGTATAATTATTAAAATTTAAGTTAATATTAGATTTGAAATTTATTTGGATGAAGTTGTCAAACTCGATCGTGTTGTCATAGGGATTGAAAATTGCACTGAATGCAATTATCAGTCTAATTTTGACATGATTGGGTGAAATTGTTCCACATGACACAAAATGACGAAATTTGAATGGTTGTTAGAACAGTCGAAAAATTATCATTGTAATGTTTATATTTTGCAAGCCCTTTGCATATACTATTCATACACTCTATATTTAATGACTGTGTTTTATCGCTATAGTTTTATTTGCAGCAAAACAAAAAGAAGCAAAAAATGTACTAATTCTATAAATATACCAATTTCCAAGTGTTCACAAATTTTATTCGGCTACTATTTAATTGTTGATTATTGTTAATTGTGTTTATTATGGAGCGTCAATCATGTAATTTAACCAGAGATGAATGTGCCCAAGCAGTGATACTGTCAAAAGAAGGTTGGAGTTACCGAATAATTGGTCGTCGATTTAATGTGTCCTACACATCCGTCTCATGGGTATTAGAAAGATTCCTCGAAACAAAGGATCATACTCGCAGACCAAGGGCAAGGACGAAACCAGGTAACTATCCCTATGCAAGATCGATTTTTTACGAATTTCTGCTCTTCGACAACGTTTTGTAACACATCGAAGTCTACAAATTCAGCTTCGAGACGTGCATGCTATACAAATTAGTACTGAAACTGTTCGCCAGCGACTTAGGGAATACAAATTAACACCTAGCCGACCGACGTCCTTTATTAACTATAGAGCATCGAAGGGGAGGCTACATTTTGCCAGAGAACACGTTAGTTGGTTATAGGCTAACTGGGAACGAGTGCTATTTACTGATGAATCCCGATTTTGTTTGTAGAATAACAAAAGACGTGTTCGTGTGTTACGACGACCCAACGAACGATATGCTCAGTGTAACTTCTCACACACCACATGTTTTGGTGGAGGATCCGTTATTGTGTGGGGTGGTATTTCTTTGACCGCACGTACGGACCTAGTGGTCATACAAAATGGAGCTGTTACAGCTGAAAGGTACATATTGGAGATCCTGAAGCAAGATGTAGTATCATTCGCTCCTTATATCGGTGACAATTTCTTACCAATGCAAGATAATGCCAGACCTCACGCTTCACAGATCATCAGAAATTATCTAGAAGAGGTAGAAATTAACACTATGGAATGGCCAGCACTCAGTTCGGGTTTAAATCCGATTTCAAATCTCTGGGATATCCTTGGTAGGTGATTAAGAGCGACACCGATCCAACCAAACAACTTACAGGAAGTGGGAGAGAGGCTGATCCAGATTTGGAGAGAACTAGACCAAAATGAAATACGATAATAATTTTAAGAATGGTCCACAACGATGTGAGACAGTTATATGTAGTAGAGGTGAAAACACTCGTTATTAAGACTTTTTTCATATTTTAGTTTACCTTTCTTATCATTTTTTTTTAAATTTTCCGTTATACATTTTTTTTCTCCTGTACTTCAATATTTTCTAATGATTAGACAAATTGTTACAATTACTAATAAAATGTAGAATAAATCTCTTAAAGTTTTATTTTTTATTCTTTTCCAGTTTACAAATAAAATTGATTTATTGAAGTGGTGCGTTAATTTCTTGGAGAAGTATATATATATATATATATATATATATATATATATATATATATATATATATTATATATATATATATATATATATATAGTCATACGTAGCAAATTTTTCGAATTTTAAATAAAGCAAAATGTTTATAATTCGAGACAAGAATGTGTTGACTTTTTTATTTATATTAAATACATTTTAAAAGACCCGGAATACAAATCTAACTGAAGATAAAAACCACCAAATGATTAAAAGTCTTTTAATTAAGACCAAAACTAAAGAAAATAAAAAAATAAATCAACCCTAATTAAAAATGATTAACCTGCTTGTTAAATCCTTTACTTTTATCAATGAAAAGCCTTTTAATTAAAGTTGCTGGACGCAAAAACAAGAAAAAACATACCAAACACTACAATAACTTGTAAGCTTGTCGTCG